TTTTTTTTTTTTTTTGCAGCACGAAGCCCAGCCTGGCCCAGCAGCCAGGCTGGGCATGCCTTGTCAGCAGCAGGAGCAAGAAAATGGTGAAGGTCAGCTGGGGTGGCGGTGAAGCGCAAGGGTGAAGGGGTATTGGAGTGCAGGGTGGCAAGGGTGACTGCAGCTGGGATTGGGCTGGGGCAGCTGCAGCTTCCTGGGGCATGACAAGCAGTTCCAGAGCCACACAGTTCTGGGGCTGCTTGCTGGCCTGCAAGGCAGGATGGCCAAAAGGGCAGAGATGGAGGGGAGACAGGTGGGTGGGAGGAGATGGAGGCAGGTCCTTACCTTATTGAGTTTGCAGGGTGGAGGGGACCAAGCCCAGAATGGTTTGGATTAGGGTGGGTACTCGCTTAACAACCTGTGATTCTCAGTTAACAACAACCAAGACTGGGATTGCTATTGCTAAGCAATGCGATCACATGATGTCTTGCTTTATGACCACATTGCTTAGTGATGGAAATTCATGTCCCAATCATGGTCATAAGTCGAGCACTACCTGCAGTCCATAAAGGCTTTATGAGGAAGTATAAAATATTAATAAAGTTTTTTGGGGGTTGATGTTGCTGGAACAAGATTTAACTTCTATAATACACTTGAGCAGTCATGAAACTTCTTTGTGGCATTAATAAATACTGGTGATGTAGAAGGATTCAGTTCTTGAATTCAGTCTGAATAAGACTTGCAAGATCTCCATACTGATTCACTTTGTCAACTCAACTTGTTGAGTAGCTTTGGATCATTGAAAAAAATTGAGCCAATCAGACTGGGCAAACAAAAAAATTGCTGAATTGTACTCACTTCCTCAACTGACTTGACTTACAGATTTAATTCAGAAATCGAAACTGGATTAAGAATCTGAATTGTATTTTGGCTAGTTTGTATACCCCTCATACGTACAGACATTATTAGGCTAGTTAGCATTCATTCAGATAACTTACATAGCTGCAGATGCCCTCTGTAGTTGTACAATAAAGAATGGGCAAATTCCTGGAATATATAATCTTCCCTTTGGCAATTTCTAGCTTTGTACATCTAGAACCCTTAAAACGTTCCCCAGCCCATTTCCCAAAACATTCCCCAACCCAACTGCCTCAGTCTAATTCTGCTCCTTTACTAACGAACAACTATTATTTAAAAAAACAAAACACAAAAAACAAGAGCTCCTAATAATGGATCTCTCCCTTATGACATTTTTTCTGCTTTCAAATAAGTGCTATGAATGCTACAAAAAAATGAAATCATGTAACTATTTAGTGCCTATAGCTAAGATGACCATCACATACCTTATTCTATTTGATATATGCCATAAGGCATGTCTAACAGTTTACAACAGCTGAAATATACAAAATATTTGGCTAATATTTTAACTAGAAAATATTTCCTATTTATTTAATGCATAAATAATTTTTGAGGCTACAAGATGTGCTGAATTACTCTTGGGGTTAGGGTATATTGTGTATTTTTTTACTTTATACAAAAGTAAAAGCCATATTTTGTACTTTTGGGTGATTTTTAGACGTTTGGTTAACTGCCTAAAACTCTTATTTTAGACAGAAACTATTTGCAAGATGTAATAATGAAATGAATAACCCACATATTAATTTCATGTCACCCTAAAACAATGAGATTCAATCTCTGTCAATCCCCTACCCCCACCCCCACCCCTACCATACATGCAGAATTTCTATATGAATAGCTCATGCCACTACCCAAGCTTTGCTAATGTGTTGTAAAAGACAACTGAATTAATACTGTACTGGGATTTCTTTAACTTAGTTACTGTTCTGACATTGATAATGAATTTTCTGTCTGCTTCAGTGGATGTTTGTTGACAAATTGAACAGCCAGTGGCAAACATTACTGGTTTCCAAGCAGTTCAGTAAATAATTTTCCTTGTTACCTACCAACAGAATCCTTCTCCATCACACCTGAGTATTGGGGCGAGGGGTGTGTGTGAAGTTTGTGAAAGCCTTCCCCTACAAAGATATAAAAAGAACTTGCTGATAGTAGGCCTCTTGCACTGCCTATGGTCTAGCTGTTTGTCTACCATAATCATACAACACATGCACTCAGGTACCTAGCTGGGTTATTGAATGATAGCATCACTGAAGCAATGAGCATGAACTGAGCAAACTCAGGGAGGCAGTGAAGGACAGGAAGGCCTGGCGCGATATGG